CTCAATCTGCAGTGCGAAGCCTACAGCGACGGCCGCCAGGCGGTCGAGGCTCTCCGGGCCCGCTCCCGGGAAGGCAACCCCTTCCACGTGGTCCTCATGGACGTGCAGATGCCCACCCTGGATGGATACAACGCGACGCGCGAGATCCGCAAAGACCCGGACCCCAATGTCAACGAGGCCCTGGTCATCGCGATGACCGCCAGCGCCATCGAGGGCGACCGGGAGAAATGCATCGACGCCGGCATGAACAACTACCTCCCGAAGCCGGTCCGATCCACCATCCTGGCCGAGATGCTTGACCAGTACCTCGCCCCGGTCCCCGCCTACACGCGCACTCGCATGACGAATCGCGATCGCGGGAGCGTGAGTACCGACGCCGGCACGCCGCCACTCAGCAACAGCTCCTCGACGCCCCAGTCCCAATCCGCTAGTCCAGTTATCGCACTCACGCCCGAGGAGGAAAAACCACTTGCCAGCAACTGAACAGCAACAAGGCATTCGAAGGAAAAATTGCAACATTTTGCAGGAATTCTCGAAAGTCTCTTCTTTTCTTCTCCTGTTTCCCTTGCCACCCCCACTTGTTTGTATGTTTGAGATACCACATCTGTATAAATTGGAGTTCTTCCCCCCATCTTTTTTTCTCTCTCTCTTCTATTCCTTCATCTGTTTGTCTTCATTCGTTCCCCCCTTTTCTCTTATACAAAATGCTGTGATATATCCCCAGCTACAATCTGTCTGCGTTAGGGGTAAACTTTCCCATCCATTACATAGCTTCGTTTCTGGTTAGCGAATCTTCTGGTTTTCTGCTCCCAAGCTTTCTCTCCAGCCTCTTTTTGCTTTGACAACCACGATCGGCCACAATGGGGTATGGATATAAATAGACCCCGGTCTCCTTTCGTTCCTGTCCCCCACATTCCCTTCTAGGCGCGTGCTTCTCTACCTACCCTATGTTGGTTGATCTGTCGTCTACTGTGGTGTCCGCATAGGCCTATCCACCACAACAACTTGATGATTAAATGAAGGATATGATTAATGATACTCGAGATACTCACTCACTCAACCAGTAATATATATGCTATCAAGACCCGGCGAAGTTAGGTACTCAGATGCTACGCAATCGTAGTAATCCCTACAGAGCGTCGCGCCTCGCTTCTACGGTATATATGTTTTGCCAACATGATGGTATGCCTACCCAGCGTCATTGCGGGAACCTTTGGAAAAGGAACCTCCCCGAAACATAAGTCGAGCTGCTTTCTTTTGCCAGCAAGATGTGTTGATTTCCAAATTCTGTGTTACTTCTCGACTCGATGCCGAAATAGATCTTGGATTCGAGGATGGATCCATCTCCAGCAAAGCTAGTCGAATGTTGTGGCTTTACCTATCATCTTAATCGATCCATGGTTCGCTCATCGGCATGTGGAGCGGGGCGGGACAGTAGACGTCGATGGTTGCATGGATTCGTGGATTGTAGTGTTTGGCCATCGCGAAATCGAAGATTTTGATTTCGTTGTAGCATTTGTCTCTGATATTGTTTTCGAGGTCGGGCCTGGTTGCCAAGTGGGTGGCTGTCGACACAATATTGAATTGAGAGGGCGGAATGGGGCTGAAGTGGTTCTCTTCTGCGGATTGAAGACAAGCAGTCGATGCGGGGTGGAGGTGGTTGAACGGATTGTAGATGGCGCGAGCAAAAGAGGCTTCGTTGGAACTAATTTCCACACGATGGGAAAGCCGTAAGATACCTAACGACTAGTCTAGCGGCCAGATGGCCGCCGAACGCACCTGACGTCCCAAGCTAGTGATTGTTGAGAATGCACTGGGATGGCGTTGTTTCTGTCGGCCTGATTTGGATCCCGCACCGCGAATGCCAGATCTGATGCTTAGGTACAGTACTGTATGTCAGGCATGAGCATGGATGATCGCAGGGTGGAGCTGCATGCCTGGTTGAACTTGGTTTAGAACGAGCGCTTATCGTAGGACGGGCCCGGCCTCAACCCGTGGTCTCAACCCACTCGCTGTCTTCTGGAAAACGCCCACAAGGAAAGCAAGCTGGAAGGTGCCGATGAGCGACAGGGCTGGGTGATTAGCCGCCGGAATAATATGGAGACTGTATGGAGACTCTCCCATCGTCGCCACCAGAGTACGGCGAGCTCTATAGTCTCTATGGTACGAACAAAGCCTCCGGTAGTTGTTCGATTCCTCATCTGGCGGTGAGGAAAGCAAACGAGGGCCAGGCGAATGAAGGTACTTTCCCTTCCCCCCCCGATTAACCCCACCCACTCTGCATCAATACTCTAAAGAAGGATTAGCCATCCGCAGTGCATCCGTCGCCGTTGACTGACAGGAATGGAGAGTGTGTCTGCCCTCCACTCCGGAGTCGTCTTTTCGCCCATGGAGAAACTTAACACGGACCCTCACCTGCAGCCGATTGTTGGGCACTGCGGGGATAGTCGTCTCACATCCAAAGAAGCCATGACCCAGCATGCATCGGAGGTATTAGCAGCCTAGCCCAAGAGCCTTGGTGCAGCGCCGGCGAATCTCGAGCAGCAGTTTGGTGCATTAGCGTAGCGTTACCAGCATAGATCAGACAGACTTTGCGAGCCGCTGCTCGTGAAAACTCCGTAATTCCAGAATAAAGTAGTCGGATTTTCGCCTCGCTCGTCATTCTCTCATGGCCTACTCAGAAAATTTGGCCAGGCATGATCTGACTCAGTTCAGCAAAACTTGGCGACCCGAAAGGAGCTGTGTCGTGAGATAAATCGAAGCAAGCAGTGACCCAATCAAGCGATGTCAAATTTACACACGAATGATCGAAGTAGTTCATCGGAGGCACAATCATCACTTCATTGGGTTTCTGTGTGACCAATAATTCCGGTCGGGCTGCTGGACGACCAAGCACGAGAGACCCTCATCCAAGGTGCCGATAGCTGAGACATAATAGTTAGGGCCGCTCAGGCACAGTTGAAAAAAACCAGCGTGAGGAAAAAGACACGGCCGCAATTGCAAGGCAACAATCCAAGAGTCCGTGAGGCAGCAAGGTTGGAGACATAATGACAGTACGCGCATAAGATGCAGGAAGAATCGAATGCCACTGGTCATAGCGGCTTGTCGGTGGATGTCACCCTGAAGCCGGCGTCGATCGTGACTGGTGTATTTTCTCATCCAAGCCGGCGACCAGAAGAACAGGCTTTCCCTGCGTGTTTTAGCAGCTCCGATCTGCCTGTCAGCCAAGAGCCTGTATCGAGTGCGTATCCAGACCGTTTTCAATTCTTCTCGTTGGCTTTAGGTCTTTTGTACTTCTTTGGGCAGTATCATGAGGCCCTGATTCCGAGGTGTCGGCTTGCTGGACAGGGATGCCCTGAACCAAAATCTTGGGAGGATCGGAGGACTCCGAGACTCGTTCAAAACACTGAGTCGTGTATCTGCAAGCCAGTCGAGCCTCTTATCATCTGGACCCGTTTTGCACCGTACAACATATTGAGATTTCCACGTTGGCGGCGTCTATAGCGCTTGTTACCGTTGGAAGTTGGGAAGTTGATGATAGTTCACTCAATTGCTCGAGCTCAATTGAACGCATTCAGGCGCGGGATGCTGGGCCGCCGATAAGCGGACAACACACTCGCCTTGAATTCCACACCCCAGGTTGTTTTTGTTCTTTGCATGTCATATGCCTGGCGCATCAAGAAGATGAGAATTATCCCTGTCTGTTACACAGTCTCCCATTCGATTTCAGGGGCCAATTTCTGCCCTGCCGTGCCACTTGAGCGATCTTGGGTCGCCGCGCCGAGTTAGCAGAAGTCATTAGCCCGCCTTTGACATTTGAGAATGCAGACCCGGTCTTTTTGTGCTTCTAAGTAGCCGATTCTCCGTGCTTTTCTTGAATTGTTTTATGTGCCAGACCGCTCCTGTTCGTTCGTTCCGAACATATGCAGAGATGTCCAATGCTGATCCAAGATCCTCAATATTCGGTTTATTTCTATTGCCGCAAAGCTGTGACTTTCGTCAGCCCCCGCACCATATACTGCGCTTGCAACTTTTTGTGCCTTGCAGTCTTTGATTCAAGACGTCACCATTCATATGGCCGTTCACGGATAAAGTCTTTCAACAAAGCGGAAGTGGAAGAGACAAGCTTTCTTACCCTAACAAGTCTCCCAAGCCTCCCAAAGGGGATGACCTAGCAGCTCAAAGCCATCGGAACGTCATATCCTCGTTACGACAGATTCGATCGAGCTTCGAACAAATGAATCACGTCTTGAGTTTGATAATATATGGCTGTAATGACCGAAACAGCTCGAATGAATGTCGCAAATTGTGATAGCTCCGTAGGCACTCATTTCTCATTGCATTTTGCCGAATAGATCTTGTACCTCTGCTGCTGCAATCACTTTACCTCAGCCACCCAGCCTCCTGATATCGGTGGCGCATATTCACAAAGGACTAGCTTTGGAGAAGGGAGGTAATTTGCCGCACTCACAAACGGAAAAGAAGGCCTGCGGCATCTGACAGTCAAATGAGTCTAGATGAGAAGTTGAAGGTCTCACGTATTTTGTTTCTTGATCATGAACATACTGTGGCGCTCGAAAGGGGAGCAGTAGCTCCGCTGGAGATGAAAGTCGGAACACTGCAGGATCAGCTTCGCAGTGCTTCTCATTGTTGCTCTTATAGCTTTGTCGTATCAGCCAGACCATTGCAGCCCAAGGAGAGAAAGAGGAAAAAGGTCCGAGAGCCCCCAGGATGACCGATAGTCTCGCCACGGGACACCGGGGAAGGTCGCCCGGGTGGAGGAGGGATGCAGAGGGCTGGACCAGTCTCCGACCATTCAGCAATCTTTCTAGTTTTTCGTCTTTTCAGCCAGAGCGGGGTTCTTCCGGGAAAAGGAGCGAATTGGCGTTCAGAAACTGCAAGACGGGCGGAATTGGGGGGTTGGGATTGGCGACAAGTGGAGGGATGATGGTGGGTGAGAGGCAGGAGGGGGGTGGGAGAAAATGCCTCCCCGGACAATCCCAATGCCCAATGGCTCTATCTCGCCCATCCCCAAGCCCCCCCTTTCCCCTCATGGCCTTGCTAAGACTCATTTCCTTTGATCAGAGTTCATTCCGCCGGATGGAAGACTCTCCGCGGAGGGCTATATAAGCCCTCTCCTCGTCCTCCATTGTCCGGGCCAGTTCCTTCTTCCGTTTCTATCTCTCCAAGTCTCTCGTCTGCTTCCCTTAAACTCGTCGGAGTCATTCATCGACTCTCTTGTATCTGCCCTCTGACATACCAGCCCCTTGATAGGCATCAGTCGTTGAACCTTCTTTGCCATTGAACCCACTGTTCTATTCTCCTTCATCGGCTCCAAACCTCTTTTCACAATGGCGACACACCACTATCAGTCTCCCGCTCTCCCCATCAACGTCCCCTCTAAGGCTCCAGCTCAGGCTAGTCTTTATCCTGTCGGTCGAGTGTCGGGATCACCTCCTGATATCTCCGACGCCAGCACCACGGCAGGAAGCCGTACCTCCGCTGGATTCAGTTATGCATCCGGAAGCATTGGCGGCGATTATGACTCCAGCTCTGCCTCATACTCTGGAGTCGATGTTGTTGATGTTTTGAATGATCGCATGCAGGATATGTTTGACCCAACACCATTGGATAAGGGATTGGCGATGCAGGCGCAAGCGTGAGTGTCTAAACCCCGCCGCAGCGAACCCCGATTCGCTGCCCTTGAAACCCACAGAATTAGAAACAGGCAGCATAAATCTGGGATTCCGAAAATGAAGGGAAGCTAAAAATTTACCCCATCAGTTCCGGTCAGTTGAATGCGAAGCAGCGCGAGCTGATCGAGCTGCAAGCTCTTGCACAAAGGCGCCTAAAGGGCGTGCGCGCCAGTTTTGCCGATGGCATCAAAGTCGCTCGAGAAACCAAGCGGGATTTGGAATGGACCCAGAAACGCGTCAAGTAAGCTGCGAACTCATTCCCTGACATTTTTTCGTCTTGCTCCGTATGCGACTGTCGTCAACGGATTCCGCTCCGCTGGCCAGCTGCGCGGACGTCCGCCGCGCTCCGCCGTCAAGATGGTTCTTGGCAGCGTTCAGTGTCCTACTGGTCCCCTTGAAACATCTTCCGCGTGTAGTTTGCAGGCACGATCTACACCGATACTAGAGCTTCAGATGCTGACTAACGAAACAAGTGCTTTGAAGGCCAAAGCTGAACATGCTCATCCCGATGAGTATCGGCGTGCGGCCAAGAAATACACCTTCGACGATAACTGAGCGACAAAAAGGGATCGTGTTGGGAAGTGGCCGAGACGAATTTGCGAGGCAAACACTCCCGTCGAGACCACGAAAGCTGGCTTTCCGGTAAATTGGCTTCTATGGGTTTTGGATTTGGCGTGCTTGATTTCGGGATGGACTTTTTTGATTTGCGATACCGTTTAGCTGGGAGGGTTTCTGGGATAACCCCTGTCGTCGATGTTCCGTTGGCGGCGCAATGTAATATTGGGCCTGCTGGTCTTTGGTGGGAATTTTCATATTCGGCAATATATCTTCATTTTTCTTGCAGATTCGCGACTGGTTGCATTTCCGGGTAAAGGGGCGGGGGAGGTAAGAATGCGTGATCTATGGCTCCGAATAGACTGCGGATGCGCAAGAAGGTGCGGCCGCGACGTTTCAGATTGACATGGGGAAAATGAAAACTCCCCATCACATCACATCCTGTGACGACAAGCGCCAAGTCATGTGCCAGGTCCAGGTCACCTGGGGTCACGATACGGGCACGGTCCTCGGTGGTATGTGGTAGACGCATACCAGTGAAGCAGCAAGACTGACGCCAAGAATGCTATGAAGATATGGATAGATCGAGGACACGAACCTCATAGCCTTACCTTGGCAATTCCGCCCCAGTCATCCTGGATTCTGTGATGAGATGCGAGGAGCAGTGTGACCGGTCAGTTCCGCTGTGCCGACTCCGCCAGCGGACAGGAAACGCTCGGCCGCCCCCGCTCCACCCCCTGTTCTGAGATGATTTCCTTGCCGCTTTAGGCAGAGACTCGCCGAAGAGCTCGGGGACGGAGGCGTCGCCTGCTGTCATTGTGGCACAGCGCTTCCAGCCACAGTGTACGCACACATTGGGTGGATCGATCCGAAAGTGAGATGCCGTGCATATGATGTGCAGCGAGTGCATGAGCCGAGATTGCCCCTGACGCGTTAGATCACAATTAGCGTCCAGTCTCACTGGTGTAGGAACCCGAGCTTACTTGAAGTTATGAGCCTGTTACTATAGAGCCAAGATCCAGGGGTGCAGTAGTTTCCGGTGCATTTGTCGCGTGGCATTGCTTGCACCCTACCTCATAGACAACTCAATGGGAACGTCTGCCTTCTGACAAATCAGGCAAACATGAGACTCACGTAGCCAAAGCGGTCCGGTCCAATCAGCAAATCCAACACGCCAATGATTCTTGAAGTGAACAGCAGTGGCAGACGCCCCTCTGACTGGTCTGGTGGCTTGGATGCGTGTAGGACCACGTCGCCAGTTTGCGTAGAGATAGATAGATATTAAACAGTACTTGACTCCTGCAGCGCAGACATATGAAGCCCTTTGACTCTTGTAATGCTAGCCCAATGTCTTGCTTGTACCACTGAAGTTGGTTGGTCGTTACTGAGGCGATCCGAAGTTGTCGGCCGTGGTGGGACTAGAGGAAATGAACCCCCGGATAAAACCCTTCCGTAAGATTAGATTGGAAGCCGGATCCTGGTAATGTCCTGTTTCAGGATATGAAATGTGAAGTCATGAAGGTGTATTGTGTGCATGTTGATCTGGGAACCACTAAGAGGTAGACTGTTGATGATTCAGTGGCATGCTACTTACCTTGTTCAGGGGCTAAAGAAGCTGAGCCTGAAACGAAGGAGGTATTACTACTTTCGGATTCAGCCTATTCGACAAACACCCCTATCGAGGACTACAAATTTCATTTCTCTTTGGATGTCAGGGAAATTAATTGTTATCAGCCGTTAGATATTTCCCCAATATCTTGACCCGATGATTGAAATGTTCACTGTGCCTGTATAGGTTCAATGAGAAAGCTGATTGATCTGCGCTACAGAAAGTGCCATAACAGACGGCACACAGCAATAAACATGAGCGATAAGATATCTGATCAATAGGGCACCAAATTGAATAGCATACTTGTTCTCTGTGACTTGCATTTAAGCCTTTACAGGATTCGAATTCGTAACGTCACGTAATTAAGGTCAGTAAATAGCTAGCTCCCTCGGGCTGCAGTGACCATGGGTGATAATGCCATCCGAGACTGGGAAACGAACATGAACCAACTCAGAATTCTAGCTTCATAGTTGGTCAGACATTCCTAATCTTGTTAGGGATGCTAGAAGGCTTCGGAAATCACGTCTGTATGTGGTCGATTAGCAGCGTATCATCAAACAAAGTATAAACTTCCAAATGATGTAGAGAATAACCTACCAGTACCGCGAAGCACATGTGGTCAAAATAGGTTTAAGGCCCTTCCATGGGCTCTCGACAAAGACAGGCAGGAAAATCACTAGATCATTGTGTTGATTCTTGACTCCGATTGACCATTTGAGCAAGTCATTGTGACGAGGAAAACGGGTGCCATTAGGCGCGGTGTAGCAAACAGACCCAGTCCGTGGCTTCTGTCTGCTTTCGACAGCTTTCTTGGTGGGCTCAGTAGGCTTGAGCGTCTGAGCTGCGGTGGGACTCGGACCATTGAGGTTTTGTTTCTGCTGGCTTTCACCACTGCGCTTGGATGTTTTCGCAGGCTTGGATGTCTCCGCAGGCTTGGATGTCTCCGCATGCTTGGATGTCTCCGCAGGCTTGGATGTCTCCACCGGCTTGGGTGCTCTTCCTGCAGACAAATTCGAGATGCGAGGGTGGTGCAGCTCGTTAACCTCACCGGGTCTGCTTTTAAAGTTGTGCACAGAGATAGAGGCCTCTGGGGTTGTGGGACTAGAGGAGCTAGTACGTGATTTCTGTTGTGATTTGTGCGGAACATTGGCAGGATCAGCAACCGATTTGGATAACTTTCTATCACCCGCATGAATAGTGTTGAATCGATTGCTAGCGCTGACGGTAGATTGAGCGTAGTGGTCTAGAACATGCACCCATCGCCAACGCGTTAGAGAGGAACATACTGCCATGTAGAACTTCCTCCTGAATGTTGAAAGTACTGTTTGAACTCACGAGGATGGAGAGTATTGCTCTTCGAACAAACCTGCTGGGAGCCCTTCGCGTTTGTTCTGGACTGCAGACAATGAATTGGTTTCTCAGCAGCGACCGTAGCAGCTGTCAAGCTCGCGGGATGTGGCAAGTGGTCAACCTTCTGTGCCGGGGCGTGGGGAGAAGGAGTGCATTCCTTGTTCGCGTTCTCTCCCTGGGAGGAGGCAGCGTGAGCTTTCCAATCTTCATACAAGGAAGAGGTGCGCAATCTAGAGTGCCTGTGAGTGGGTATTCCCTGTTCTTTGACCGGAGCAGCCTGAGGAGGTCGAAGAACGGTCTGTTGGGATGGCACTTCGTAGTTCTTCAGAGTCTCGGGAGCCCATTCTTGCAGAAACTCATATTCCTTCTGTGACGGTGCTCGCTTCAGGATTTGCTTGGGTTGGACAGCAGCGGAAGGCATGATGGACTGCTGTAACATGCGCTTGTTTCTGGTTCTGTGAGGGGATCGGTGATGGAAGTGGAGGGGACTGATGAAAATAATGGTTGTCGAAGTGTTGAAGTAAGGTTATACCAAAAATGATGGAGGGTGGGGGGTTTTGAACCAGTGGCTAGAGGTCTAATATGTGAAGAAGTGAGAGAAATTGAGAGTAGTGAAGTGGTGGTTTCCTCACACGGCATAAGTAGGAAAGTGAATAATTTAAACATGGCAGGGAAGGCCAGATAAACTCCAGGCTGCAAGTATCTTCCTCCAGACTGAAAGGTGAAATAATTTTAGACTTATATTAAAATTGTCACTTTGAATTATTCTACCTTCACTGTACACAAATATACCAGTCTCATTGGCTATAGCTCCTGCTGACTCTATGCAAAAGTGTGTTCCTCCTGAATTGCACGGTTGATGACACGCACAAAACGTCCTACCTTATCAACGTCCTGCTTAGCTGTTTCAATTCCCAAAAGCACCTTCTTGACACCAACGCCGATAGTCTTGCGTTCAGAGATGTCATCGAGACCCTCTAGTGCTTGCTCAATCTCCTGCGCATCGAAAGCTTCGGATTTCTCAAGGATATATCTCAACTCCTCGAATGTCATAACATTCGGAACCATGATATCCGCATTGAAGGAGTTGTACACATCCAACTGCTTCAACACAGCTCTCTCCGTGGTAGTTGCCAGGACCAGGAGGCGTCGGCCCTTGCTAGGTTGCTTTCTCAAGCACACCATTAACGTTTGCAAGATGGCGTTGCTGAATCGAGGGCCAATAGGCACCCACTCAATAAGGCGCTCGATGTTGTCAACAACGACAACACTCGTACGACTTTTATAGGCATCGTCGAAAATCTTGGTGATGTGCTGAATCTTGGCCATTTCACTATACCCGACCATGTCCTCGGGACTGATCAACTTGATGAAGGGAAAGCCGGAGTCGATGGCGATTCGAGCAGCAAGAGCAGTCTTTCCACTTGCGGTCGGGCCATGCAACAAGACAGAGAACAGAGGCGAGGACTCGGCATTGCTGACTTGTTTCACGAAAAGCTCTCCTTCCTTAAGAATCTCATTAATGCCTGGGGAGAAGTGGATAATGCCGTATTGAATGCGACCTGACAGCTCTTCCTCCGAGACACCAAATGCCGGTTTGACTTCATCAAGTGCGTGGTGGAAATCAGCACGGTTGACCTTCATGTTTACAACATCATCACTAACGTTAGCCATCGTGCCAACTTTGATATGCCGAGAGAACGCGAATGAAGATGCGGACTTGACAAGACCAGCGATTTCAGCACCAGAGAAGTTCTTGGTCAGCTGAGCCAGTTCAGGCAGGTCGACATCATCGTCCATCACACTGTTGTCGCGCATCTTCTGGGTATGGATCTTGAGGATTTGAGCTCGGCCTTTCTCATCGGGAAGGGAGATTTCCATGTGAACCTCAAGACGACCAGGACGCAGGAGTGCTTCATCAATCATATCCTTGCGGTTAGTCATACCGATGAGTAGGATGTTGTTGAGCTGGTCGACACCATCAAGCTTCGAGAGCAGCTGGTTGACCACGCTATCTCCGACCCCGGTACCGCCACCTGCTCCACTACCACGCTGCTTACAGACAGCATCAAGCTCATCGAAGATGATGATATGAAGGCCACTCTCCTCACCCTTCTCCTTATACTCCTTCTCTGCATCCGCAAAGAGTTTTCGGATATTCTCTTCAGACTGACCGACGTACTTGTTGAGCACTTCTGGTCCATTGATGACCTTGGGTTCTCTAGCGTTCAACATCTTTCCAATTTGCCGAGCAATCAGAGTTTTACCTGTTCCAGGTGGACCATAGAGCAGAATACCCTTTACATGCTGAAGACCCAATTTCTCAACAA